AAAAAAAAAAAAAAAAAAAAATCAGAAAAAGAGTTCTTCAATCATTCCTTTACAAAATAATGTGGACCTGGGCAGTTCCCCAAATTAGTCTGTTCACCAGAATCACTTGGTGTGCTTATTAAAGTTACGGATTCTGCGGCCATAACCCAGACTGGCTATTTGTTTTCTTGTTGGTCTCTCCCTTTTTTGTATCTCTGTCTGTAACAGGAAATAGGGTACCCTTAGTTGTTATGTAGTTTTTAGCTTAACCAAGGGTCAAATTGAAAACAGCTTGGCCTCTGCCAATGTACAATTACTTGAAACTGAAGCCACAAAGATGCAAAAAAAATCAGGTTTGCAATGGTATTCTCAATGTCCACAGAACGACTTCTCTTCTACGGTGTTATATCTGTTTCTCCAGGACATTATTCCTTGGGAACTGCTCTGCAATAAATAAAATAGGCAAATAATAACATAGTTGAAAAGGCCTAGGAATTTGTACTTGTTAGAGGTGATACCAGACTTCGTTTTTGGCTCAAATAAGATATGGGAATTTTGTATATGGCAGGTGATGAAAAAGTGCTGGAACACCAAGACATCAAAATTAGAAAATAAAAAATTGTGTATGACTCAAAGGTTAGTTTGGTAGAGATTTCCTTTCAATTGGAAGCTAAAATATATATTACATCGCCCTGGCAGGACTGCTTTTAATGATCTCTGAGCTTCAATGAGGCAAGTATCATTTAAGGCTTTGAAGGGAAAGAAAGAAAGGGTGTTTCGAGTTCCTCAAACAATTTATTGCTCCAGTATTTCTAATAATCACATGAGTATTTTTCCTTTTGACTGGAGAGCAAAGGAAAAAGGAAACCTGTAGGAACTGGAGTTGGACAAGAGAACAAAGTTCACAAATGAAATCCCGTCTAATACTAGCAACTGAAGCAAGACTCACCCCTCGTGTCCTTTGAACAACTGGTCCAGCTCAGTCCCTATTCTCCCCCTCAGTGATTTTTAAGTGTTACAAATGGCTCTTCAGGTTGAACTAAACTATCATAGAAATCTTTCAGGAAAAAGATACAACGATTACTATACTTTTCCTGGGCCATGCCATTGTAGGCCATTTCCCCTCAGAAATTTATTTCTCTAACTAGAGTGTAGAGCTGACAAGAAGCAATTTTTAAGTCAAATCAATAAAATAAAAATATCTCCAAATAACACAACAGTTTTATTTTTGTGAGAATAACTCTTCCTTTATTCCAAAATGAAACTACTATCTCTCTACTATTATTACATGGCTTAAAAAGATGACCTTTAAGAATCTGTAAAACTGAGGCTTAGAATGGACTTTACAAGTTATCTAATTAATTCAAATCTTCTTTCTCATCTTGTGCCTCAGTTTCTTCTTTAACATCTTTGTTCTGTCATTATCTAGAACAGCACTATACAACAGAACTTTCTGTGATTGTGGCAATGTCTGTTATTCTGCACTAATATGGCAGTAGCCACTAGCCATATGTAACTTGTGACTAAAAACTGAATTTTATTTGTATTTAATTTCTTAAAAATTAGCTTTATTGAGGTTTAACTGACATACAAAAACTATACATATTTAATATGTACAATTTGATGAGCTTGGATACATGCATGAAACAGTAAAATCACCACCACCATCAAGATAATAGGCATATCCACACCCTCAAAAGTTTCTTTCTCTCTCTCTGTCTCTTTCTGAGTGTGTGTGGGCAGTGGGGGGAGGGTAAGAATGCTTGACATGAGATCGACTCTCTTAATAAATTGTTAAGTTCCTAATTTTGTTAGTTATAGGCATTAGGCTGTAGAGCAGATCTTTAGAAGTGATTCACCTGGCATAACTGTAACTTTACACCAAATGAACAGCAATACCCCATTTCTCCCTCCCCCAATCCCTGGAAACTGACATTCTATCCTCTGCTTTTATAACTCTATTTATTTTAATTAATTTAGATTTAAACAGCCACAGGAGGCTAGTGGCTACATACTGGAGAGCACATGTCTATTATCTGCTTTATTATCTCTAATGACAGAAAATCTATTTCCCCCCAAGTAGCTCTATTGATAGATAATTCTAATTGTTAAGAAGGTTTCTTCTTACGTTCTGAAAGCTGTCTTCCTGGTAACTTCCACCCACTGGACTTAATTCTGTTTTCTGGAGCCACACAGAATAAGTAAGCTCAGGTCATATGTGACATCATCAAGTATTTGAAATCAGTAAGCATGTATTCCACTTACTTTTCTATGAGTTTGACACCCCTGATTCCTTGAACTGTTCTTCATCATTTGCTTTCAAATCCCTCTTCTAGTAAGGCATGTTTTAGTCAATGCTAATTATGATGAAAACAACAACTAACATTTGTCAAGAAGCTATTTAATGCCAGGCACCATGTGAGACCATTCTCATGCATCATCTCACTTGAGTCCCTTCCCAGCCTATGAGGCTGTACCGTTATTTGCCCTGACCTTACTACTGAGGAAACTCAGGCTCAGAGAGCTTAAGAAACTTACCTGAGACCAGGCAGCAAACAAAAACTATACAAACTGGACTCAAACCTATGTCTTTGACTCAAAAACTACTGCTCTTGACCACGGCACTATGTTGCCTCTCTTGTGAATGCACAGCACCCCTGCCCTCAAAAAACTTACCGTGAGTATTGTTTGTTCATCATGGAATGTAAACTCCATGTGGCCAAAGACTTTGTTTTGTTTGATTCTATATATCCAGCATCAAAATAGTGCCTGACACACAGGAGACACTCAAGAAATATTTGTTGAATGAAAGAATGCCTAAACAGAACAAGACAATCACCGTCTTCATTATGGCCTCTGTTCTTACTGTATTAAGTCTAAAGCTAATCTAGCATCCGGCTAGTCACATCACACAGTTGCCCAAACTCAGTTTAAGTCTCTTGTAGTTTCGCTGTTAAGGTGCCTGCTATCAT